TCATCAGATTGAGAGGAAAGCAAAGCAAAGAGATCAAGCCCTTGATAATGATACGAACTGCCTTTCGAAACTTTTTTGTACGAACTCGCTTCAGTGCAAAACGCACCACGTGATACACGGCCATAACGGGTGCTGCAATAACTTTGCTGCCGCTCAGCTTTCGCTCTTCAAAAACCATGACCGGTGCAACAATGCAAAAGGCAATGATTGCAACCAGCTTGACCAAGCTCTTTGCCACAAACATCAGGAAACTCCTCAGATCTGTACCCGAAAAGTACAGATACGCGACTCCCAGACAGAAGCACTTGAAACAAAAGAGCAAAATGTGAATTTCCACTTTGTGCTCCAGGTAGTCGAGGTGGCCTTGCATCCTGATTTCCCGTCCTTGTCGTTCTAGTTCTTTGGTTACTCTGTATTCACGAACTCGTTCCCGCATCGTTGACAGATATCTCTTGTCCCCGCCAATTGTGGCAGGAATGTTCTGTTGTAAAGCCACATATGCCTCAAAACAGCACCAAGCCCTCCGATGAATTGGGACATTTTGGGTTGATATAATGACCATTTGCTTCATGTAGTTGCTCTGGAGAGCCTTGTAGAAGGCATTGTCTTGCAGATTGCCAGACCTTCCAAGATAAAGCTTCTTGTCTAGGTTTTGTGGATTAGACAGGAAGCAAATGTAGGCAGCTTGACACTCATGGGGCCATTCACTGAGTAGATGGTTGGCAAATTCATAGATTCCTTCTGCCCATGCATGGGAGACAAAGAGATCGATATCAACTCCAGATGGATTCTTCATGAGGGCCCAACTGGATTTCGGCAGTGCATCCTTAGCGGCCAGGTTATCCCAATGATACCCAGCATATCTTCGACGAAGCTTCAAGCGCTCTAAGAGAGTACCCTTGGTGATCGGTTTGATGATTTGATGGTTGATCTGATAGATTGTGGGGCCTACATTGGGATCATTGAACTTGTAGTCAGGATACTGGAATGGCTTTTGGGAGGAGAGCTGCGGTGGTGTGTCTACCGAATGTTTACTAAACAGTTGCTTCTTTGCGACGCTCCCCAAAGATGCCGAACTATTACGTCGTACCAAAGCTTGGGCAGATTCGTCTTTCTTTTTCGGCTCGAGAGATGGTGGCGGGATATTTCGCAGCAGGCCCCGTGCCTGGTAACAGCGAACCACATCCACAAACTCGATGAATTGAGCTTTGGTAACACCCCATCGAGAGGCAGGGACTCCCCCCGCCTTTTCTTCGGCAACATTCCTCAAAGATTGCCGCCGTTGCCTCATGGACAGAGCATACCACAATAGAAGAAGGGAGTCTAGAATAGGAGTATACGAACCAACGTTCACCTTTATTTGGATTTTTTGTTTTTTTGTTTTGTTTTACTAGTACTCTCAGAGTGTTTATCAAAGAAGAGACAAGAGACAACGAAGAGCCAACAACAGGGACGAGGAAGAGGTTGAAGTTGTTAAATCCTTGAATTTCTTCAGAACCGGGCTTGGCCCTCTTCACAGACCTCAATCGCGATTGTAGCCTCAGCCCTACGCTGTACCGGTACTACCAGGTTGTGCCAGTGCGTGGGGCCTCATTTGGAAGGCCAGCAACATTCGAGCGCCAACAGCTGTAGCAACGCAGCGAGGAACTTCCCAACATGTCATGGTTGCTTAAAGAGCATCTTCCAAGAGAAGCACAGGCTCAGGCACAAGTTCAAGTAAGAGCCTACCCATGCTTGGAAAACTGTTTGGCAAGATCACTGTGCAGTTGAGTTCTTGGTTAGTTAATCTGCTAACTGCAAAAGGTAGCTCACTGGCACAAATCCAAAGAAGCGGCCCGATGACCATCAGCTAAGAAGATCCAGAAGCTAGCTGTTCCTCCTCGATACGTTTCTTCCGACTCAAGACCATTCGTTCTTCTCGAGAGGTTCTTCTCCTCGTGGGGTTTCATTTTGCCAGAGCAACCGATCCACCCAGCTGACTATCTAAGAGCACAGACTACCCGTACGGCTAAAGGGTGGCTAAAAACCGCTGCAGCCGAGATAGGATTATGATTATGCATACAGGTCTATTGTTATTCTATTCTAGGTCGACTCTATCTCTATTGTCTGTATTGTTTGATTGTCACCGCGGCCCTCCAATCTCATTTCTTTGGAATCTGATTGATCATGGCTGCAGTAATCTCACCATATACTATGGTCCATGATTCTTCCACTTGTGGGCAGAAGTCCTTTCCCAGTAGTTCACCCAATGCCAAGAACAAGGAATCTCCCATGATTCTGTAGTAGTGCTCGTCATCGACACCCATGTGGAAGTGTTTCTTCCCCAAATCTGACATGATTTCTGTCAACAACTCATCATCTGGTCCCAGCATATTGAGTGCCTTGCCCAACATGGCAATCATATGCTTGCAGTGAACTTGAAATCTGCGGTTGGATTTCAATGATTCGTGGTCAGTCGCCATGTCCACCGGAAAACCAAAGAGAGTTTTGGTGCTAGGGCACTTGTTGAACATGCTGTAGTAAAACAAGATCATATGTTAGGAAACAGTCTGTTGACCAACTAGAATGGATACACAATATGTGTAGTTAGCCACTTACTGTGAGAAGAGAAGAGTGCCGGCCTCGACATCGTAGCCTTTCATTTGACGGAGTCTTTCCCAGGATTCAATGACATCATGGATAGTGGCAAAGTCAAGATCAGAGAAGCACATGGTTGATTGCTGTTGGTTGGTTGTTGGTTTTGAAGAGGTGTTTTGTGTTGTTGAAAACTCAAATTGTGAGATGAAATCTTGGGTGGGAGGTGGAAGAGGGCAGTCGGTAGCTCTGAGTTGAAGATCAAGGTGGATGTTGCACAATATCGATGCTGGGTTGACGAATGAGCGTATGCTGTATTCTGAGATTCTAGGCTATTCTACCAGTACTCCAGTACTATTATACAGTACTCTGGACGTCCTTCACTAGCTACGGTAGCTTGGGTGAAGGTAACTTTAATTAAAAACTCAGAGTGATCTCATTCTTCTTTTGTTCTTCCTGGTGATTATTCGATTATTCTGCTTCTCGAGGCTTTTTTTGAGAAAGAAGAAAGAAGGTTCGAGCTATGCATAGTACTGTGTAGGAGGCACGGTGTTTTGGTCTGCAGCTGTACTGCAATGCTGGGCTGATTTTGGCCGGGGATCGGTACCGTACCTAACTTTGAGCGTAAGCCCTACTTAGAACTCGAGCCCACGTACCAATTGTACCTACTGTACTTAGATACGGTAGTACCGGTACGAGCACAACTCGTACTTCAACATAATATGTGCAACGTGCACACATTCCCAATCCGAACTTTCTCCGAAACTGCTTTCGAACGGCACTGTGCTGGTTCCAGCATGGGTAGTACGCTGATACGCTGTACCTGGTGGTATCTGGTACTGGCTCGCTAGAGCTATGGACATGGTACCCACTACCGGTCAGCCCCACAAATGAGCCCCAAATCTGTTTTGGGTCCAACAGCTCACAAAATCCAAAAGATAAACAAAGCAAACAGATTCAAAACCACCCCTCAACCCGAGAACAACCCACAAACAACATCATGGGAAACGAAACCTCTTCATATGCTCTCAACAACGACGAAATTCCCAAAGTAATTCTGGTTACCTTCCATGAAAGCCATCATTTCAACGACTCGGACTCAGAGTTTGACTCGGTGGATCAGTTTGAATTGATCGCGGAGTGCCTCCTAGGAGGCAGGACATCTGATCCAGAAAAGAGCCAAAAGAAGTTGAAGTCCAAGAAGGTAGTGAAAATAGAGCCCAAGAGCTCCAAAAAAACACCGAAAAAGACAATCAAGAGGAGACTCACCGACTGACCTCTCAGTATCATATTGGCAAGGAAGCCAACACCAAGGCTTCAAAGGCTGCCTAGGCACAGAAGAGGTTGTGAGATGGGCAGCTTGATTGGCCCTTGACTCATTTTTGACTGTAATGTACGTCCATAGATAGAGAAATAGAACAAAAGAGAATAGAATACAAACGCAAAAAGATAGAATATAGAAAGTGAAAACAAGTCATGTATCCTACAGAAGTCAAGAAGTCGCCCTGGTGTCAGCGAGAACTGCAGTTGTACCGGTAGAAGGAGAGTAAACCAAAATTTGGACAGCCCTCTTCTTTGGTCTTTAGCTTTGCCACTTGGGTGAATTTCTGGGGAGCCACTCTCTCACCGGGGATAGGGTTTCACAGTCGAGTAAGCCGTTGCCACTGCCACTCTTTTTCTTTCTCTGACTACAGTACATGGAAAATTTGCCTTCGAAATCAGGTCCTGCAACGAAGAAGCAGAAAACGGATCGATCATCTGGTTGCCTGCTGACCATGCAGCACGATGAAGGAATCGTTATTCCACTATTCCACGATGAAGCCTTGTCCCTTTCGGAGCCGGGAGACAAGAGGACGCTGCAACAGTACGAGTTACTACTAGAATCTGTCAACCGTTGCTGTCACTAATTGCTAGTCATTCTTTCCATTTGGATTGTTTGCGGCGGACAACACGACGTCAACAACACAGCTTCGAGTAGTCGAGTACTGGCTAGTTCACTCGGCATAGCTCTCGGCATACCGTACTACTAGTAGCTCTCAGCATTCGGCACTCGGCTACTGGCTGGCTACCTAGTACTAAGTTTTATGTACATGACATTGTATGCATGTATGTAGAGTTTACGTGCTGCCAGAACCAGTGCCGTTCGGAACCAGTGCCGTTCGGAACCAGTTCGGATTTCGGAAAGTCCTGTGCTACATTCTAAATCTTCTAAGAAGGAATCTAGACCTATCTTGTTGAAGTACGGTTGGAGGAGGCCACAGAGGTGACGAGTCTGGACCAATTGTGTTGAGATAGTACAGTTTATTCTCTCTTATGTTTATTAGGTGTGCATACAGATAAGTATAAATATAAGAGAGAAATAAACATAACAATTTTGTCTAGCTATTTCCTAGTGAAGAGCTGGTGGAGCGTTGTGTCTCTCTTGGTGTCTCTCTTGGAATGGCTCAAATGCCTTTTTAACACCCACTTCAGCTGTGGTGGCCCCTTTGCTTTCCTAGGACTGCCTACCATGGTGGATTGTCATGCCACTGCTGAGGAATCTTGACAACTGCATGAAATACCCTTATGTTGCACCATATAGCTTGAGTCATTAGTAACTGGTGACTCAAGGGGGGGGGCACTCTATGAAAGCATAAATACAAAGAGAGAAATAAATATAATAATAATAAATATAAGAGAGAGTAGACTGTATTCGTACTTCAACTTTGAATTGAGAGTCCTTCTTGGAAGAATGCAGTACTGCACTTTCCGAATGCGACCCGCGGCACTGTGCTGGTTCTGCCATGGACAACTTTGGGTTACAACAGCTCACAAAATCCAAAAGCAAACAGATTCAAAACCACCCCTCAACCCGAGAACAACCCACAAACAACATCATGGGAAACGAAACCTCTTCATATGCTCTCAACAACGACGAAATCCCCAAAGAAATTCTGGTTGCCTTCCATGAAAGCCATCGTTTCAACGACTCGGACTCAGAGTTCGACTCGGTGGATCAGTTTGAATTGATCGCGGAGTGCCTCCTAGGAGGCAGGACTTCTGATCCAGAAGAGAGCAAAAATAAGTTGAAGCCCAAGAAGGTAGTGAAGATAGATTCCAAGAGCTCCAAAAAGACACCTAAAAAGCCAATCAAGAGGTGCCTCACCGACGGAGCTGCTCAGAATAGAAAACTGCAAAATCTCTGGCAAGAATGCAACAAGCGCCTCTCTGTAGCCAACATCGGTGCTACTGGAGCCAAGGAGAGCAAGAGCAAAGATAACATCATCAAGAAAGGAGAGTTTTCGGATAGTTTCCGCCGCAGCGAGCACAGTTTGGAACCCCAACAGATTGTGGAGCTGTTGGAGCTGTTTGCCACAATGGATAGCAAATCCGGCATGGAATACTTCAAGTCCTTGAAGACTCACAAATCAACCTCTCAGTATCACATGGGCAAGGAGGCCAACACCAAGGCTTCAAAGGCTGCCTAGGCACAGAAGAGGCTGCTTTTTTGCCTGAGATTGATACTGAAGTACACATCCATAGATAGAGAAATAGAACAAAATAGAATAGAATACAAACATAAAAGATAGAGTATAGCTAGAAAGCAAAAGCTACCAGTAGTCATGTAACTTGCAGAAGTCAAGAATTCGCCCTGGAGTCAGCGAGAACCAGTAGAAGGAGAGTAAACCAAGATTTGGACGGCCCTGTTCTTTCGTCTGGAGTGTTGCCACTTGGATTCTTCATTGGGGGCCGCTCTCTTGCCAGGGGATAGGGTTTCACAGTCCAGTAAGAAGTTGTCAATGTCACTCTTGGTCTTTCTCTGCTCGTGGCTGAAGATGGAAGATGAACGGACCATGTTGACGATGTGCAGGCATTCCCGAAGCAAGCACCAAAACGAAAATATGTCTTTTAAAGAATTAGATCCTGTAATGAACACGGCTCGATCTTCTGCTTGCCTGTTGACCGTGCAGCACGATGAAGGAATCGTTTTCATCGAGAACGTCAAAACCCTTTCCGGCATCTTTGACGCCGCAAGTCACTATTGGAGTATCCAGGGCTTGAAGCTGAAAGACCCGGTCGAGGGTGCAACTGATTTCGAGTTGGCTGACGGCAGCGACGACGACGACGATGATGCCGATGCCAGTGCTGGAATCCTGAACGAGTTGGAGGAGTTGGAGGAGTTGGAATATTGGAAGAACCGAAACCCAGTGATATGTCGTACCGGTTGCCTCAAATCATGCAACATTGCCTACGATCTCTAAGAGTATTGCAACTTATTTTTTCACGGACTAAAGCGCTATGACTGTAACCCTGCATCAGTTGTGGGGCTCGACGCTGTAAAGAATGCCGTCATGAAGCAAGTGCAATGGATCGGGGTGATCACCGCCCTCCAATGGGAGCCTGTCGTCGAAGTTGGTATAACCTTGCTTTCAGGAAGCCGACGAGCATTTTGACGAGGGTGTACTAGTAACGAATCTAGTGCAAGATGAATTTGGCTATTGTGACTATTTCGAAGGTTATTTTCCGAGACGATTTACAATTGCTTCAAGTACAATTATGAGATTCTTGCCCGTACTACTAAGGATTTGATTTAGCGAGTCGAGTCCGACGACGATTGCTTCGATTATATGGTTTGTTTCGAACCTGAGAAAGGCAAGGACCAACAACAACACGCTGAAGATACATGGAGTTGACGTTTCTTGGCTACTACGGTAGTACCGTACTGTATTCATGACACTTTCGAGAGGGAAACGATTGGCAGGATTGTGACGGCGAACGTGGCTAGCTAGTAGAATGGAAGTGTCCATTGTCTTTCTTTGGTCTCCTTGTTAGACTTTTACAATATACTGTACTGTGGACTCGTGTGTTTCCGCTGGGTTAGTTCTTCATCACGAATCCATCGCACGACGTAAAGTCTTCCACGGATGATCGATCCTAGTTTTGTCGATTTCCCTCCGCACTATCATTTTCTCCGATGACATCCTCCACATCCATTTTCCTTTCCATTTCAACTCCTTCTCCTTCTTCTCTAGTAGTCTCGCTCCTTCATTCATTTTCCAAATTCTCAATAAAAATTACTTGGCCGCATCCAAACGTTCTCCAGCAACATTCCAATTAATGATATCAAAGATTTTCTGAACATAATCCGGTCGGACATTGCGATAATCGACATAGTAGGCATGTTCCCAGACATCAATTCCGACCAAGGGAACCAGCCCCGTAGTGGCCTTCAGAGGATCTTGATTGGCACACGTGGCGACTTCCAACCGTCCCGTGGCCGTGTTGACGCCTAACCATCCCCATCCCGATCCTTGAATGGCAATGGTCTTGGCGGACAATTCGGATTTCATGGCATCGAACGAACCAAAACTTTCGTCAATGGCTGCCGCGAGTGAACCACTGGGAGTTGAGCTGGTGGGACCGAGGTTCTCCCAAAAGAGCGTGTGATTAATATGTCCACCGCCGTTGAATTTGAGAGCGCCTTGGAGTCCAATAATGGCCGAAGCGTCTCCGGCCGTGACGGCGGCATCGAGTTTTTCCATGGCGACATTGAGGTTGGTGACGTACGTATTGTGATGCTTGGAGTGATGCAATGTCATGGTTTCGGCCGAAATGGCAGGTTCCAACGCATTGTAGTCGTACGGCAAATCGGGCAATTTTGCCACACCACCGGCCGCGGCACTCGACAACCAGGCGGTGCTGGATTTGGCCAACAATTCCGAGGATAGTTTGGACGAACCCAAATGCGTCGCGGCACGGAGCGCCTTGTCCACAATCAATTTGCTGCCAGTCATGATTTTACTAGTACTATCAATCAAACAATAGAAGAGACGAGAGGAGATGGGTCAAGATGGATTTTTGGATCCAGATTCCAGTTGAAAGTGACAAGGAAAGCTTTCTTGCTAGTTAGTGGGTTCTTTGACGTTGCTCTGATGGATGCTTTGGATCTTTGACGAAAGAAAAGATACAAATTCGATTCGATTCGATTCATCATTCGAATCGAATCAATTCGATTGATACTGATGTTCGAATAAATCGATACTGAGTGGAATTTTTCACGAACCGAACAGCGGCAACGCAACGCAACGGCACAAACTGGCAAGTGGCAACAGCAACAGCTGTCACAGTTTTCCTCCTCAGCTTCTCTCCAAGACAACATCAGCGTGGACACCATCCTGAACACTTGATCTCTTCTCTTCTCTCCTCTCCTCTCCTCTCCATACAATTCCATCCTCAAGGCCGCACAAGAACCATGTCTAGTCGCAACAGTAACAACAACAATGGCAACAACAAACGCAAAGGCCGTCGCCGCAGTCGTCACGAGATTGGAGTGGGCGTGAATGCGATTCACAAATTCGACCAACAACAACAACTGCAAGCAGCACAGCAAGAAGAAGAAGAACAATCGACGTCAAATCCATTTCAAGGCTTGGGACTTCCTTCATTGGAAGAATTGGAAAAACATTGGAAAGTCGAAAAGGCAACGGACGGTGGCAAAGATCGTCTCATGTGCAACAAGGACGGTGGCCATTGGAAAATTGTCGTGTCCATGGAAGAACTCTACGATACGTGCGTATTGGAATTGAAACAACGAGAGTCGTGGAAAAGTTTTGACGAATACAAAAAATTCATGATGGACAAGTACTACATTGAAGAATCCATTTTGGATTGTCTGCTCGTCAAAAACAACAACAATAATAGTGATGACGACACTCAACAACAACAAGACAATTAGAACAAATTACAACGCGACCATCCGACACTTCAGCTGCTGAGGGCGACAGGGCATGCCCAGATACGACGACAATTTTGCTATTCAAAACGGTTCGACAAAAATGACAAAAAAGGGATTTCGGGATGCTACGTTTGGCTGGTGAGCTATTGTTTCAAGGGGAGCATACTGTCACTAGAAGCTCTTTGCCCTACTAGCTAGCAACCAACATTACAACTACAGTAGCTCGAACCAACACCTCCAGAGAACGTTTCGCGAAAACGCCATATTGTAGGAGACAGCCTACAGGACTTGCGTTGAACAATTGTCCACCCAAGTGCCCAGGAGAAGATAGTCACACTCGAAGCCGCTCGCATGCACTCTGCATCCTGATATTGTTCTATTATTCATCACGAGTAGTCTTGTCCGGACATAATGCCAATCTACGGGTACATGTACCGGTACGATAGAAGCTAACAACGGCACGACGTACAGTACTGTAGCGACCAAAGATCAAATACTACTACCCTTTACAATAGACAAAGTAAAGACGAACTACACGGTTGACGGGAAAACTCTTAACACCCAACCGCCAAATACTTGCTATACCGGCTGCTCATCGTTTTCAAACCGCATACGGGAAAGAACGGTGCATTCATAGTTTGCTGCCTTCAGCATGTGCCGACTATGAAGATTTGAGCTCAGCTAACTTCTGTCGGGCTTGCTCTGTGCGTTCATATATCAAATCGGGATAAGGACAGTCCTCAACAGCCTTTTCTAGCCAGGAGATGGCCAGTGCTTTATCCACATGCAAGCCATGGTATCCATTGGCAAATGCCATGCCCAAATGATAGGCTGCATTGTTTGATCCTTGGGTTGCAGCAGCAGACACATGGATAAATCCGAGCCTTTCACGCTTTGGGGTACCCCAACCATTCAATAAATACACGCCTGTCAATGCCGTTCCATACACATTCCCAGCTTCATGGGCCCTCTTGTACCACTGAAATGCAAGTTTCCTATCTTTCTTGAAACCATTGTGGCCATGTGCATAATTCTTTCCTAAGCTATACATGGCACGCGAATCACCTGCCTCTGCGTTGTTCAACAACTCTTCCACTGCCGCCTTTTCCTCCCACTTGGCAGCCAGATCTCCAACAATGACGCCATTCTCTACCAATATCTCAATGGTGTTGCGGTGCTGGATGGCAGGAAACAGCTTCTTGCCCATCTTCTTGTTGGTGATTGGTGATTTGAGGCCTCTGGGGTGGTTGTTGATATGGGTCTCAATGGAAATTCGATCATAGATACGTCCATCCTCTGCTGTGACAGGGTCCCAAGGCAATTCTAAAGTGATGGGACAAATCAATTCATCAGCTGGATCCCTCTTGCGCTTGTTGGTTGAAGACATGTTGTGTTGTCTGAAATGGCGATGATGTGCTGGCAAAACGTTGATGACGAAAGAGCAAGCAAGATGATGTTCGCAGAGTGAGTAAAGCACTTTTTGTGCCAACAGCAAGATCACCAGGTAGTTGTACACAAGACGGTTGCCACCAAGCTCATGAACAACACTGACAGAAGGGCTTACCGGTACCGCTACCGGTATGCTTGAGAAGGATAGATTGGGAATCAGAGTTGTGAGATTGTCGAGTGCGGAGTTGCCGTGTTGACCTGAGATTGTGGGACCATTCTAGCTAGTCAGAGCTCTAAAAGAGCGCAGGTGGAAGGCACCATTAGCTGGCTAGCCAGTCACCCGTGAGCCGCCCGTTGGGAAAACAAGCTGAGGGAGCAATGGCAGCAGCCACATGGAAGCAGCCACATGGAAGCGTTGCACGTTACGAAAGTCAACTTGCACAGTATGGAGAGGCGTAACAATCTGGCTAGCTAGCTCTGTTATTAGTGGTCTGCCACGATCTCACTGCCGTTGTGTCCAAGCGTTTTCTGCTTCATGCTCTCCATGTCAGCTTTTCAGGCAATGCAATGCGAGTCGAGTCGGGGTCTGTAATGTAACTCGTCAACCAGTTCCCCCGCTGAAAGCCAGCCTCAACGAACTGTTCCGCGTCCGAGTCAGCTTTGTCTTCTTCTTCTACCTGGCTTCTTCCATGACGTAGTAGTTATAGTAGACCCAAACGGAAGCAAACCAAAGCCACAGCCAGTTTTGACCGGCGAGGGTCGCAAGGGCGAGGGTGACAACGAGAGTTGTCCATCTGCTGTCGCAGAGTCTATTGTCCTCACACAATGATAACAGCTTACACGACATTCTTCTTGCAATCAATCTTGTTGTTCTGTTGAAGAGAGCAGTTTTGTGAGGCAAATGGGTTTGTCAAATTGTAATCCCGGCCCACCAAAAGATGTCACGGTCTTCCTGCCTGGGCCTAGGTAAGCTTGCCAGTCAGTCAGTTTGGGATGTAAACACCGCCTGGGCGACACGAACTGATGCATAGCCGAGACACTCGATATCGTTCAATCTAGCCCGTACAATGTACGAGTAGGTGAGCTGCTGATGCCATGGTGGCGTTCAGACAAGCAAGTGAAATACCTTCCACGGCCTTTACGTGCGACTGCACTGGGTCGACTTTGTCGCGGACTTCAAACAAATAAAACAGCAGAGCTTCTAAAAAGCAACAGATGAAACGTTTGGAAGGGAAAGTTTCCAACCACTCTCAGCCATCCGACATGGTGCCCACGTGCCCAAGACCAGACTTGGAGGCCATCTCCCACACATCACGCAGTCAAACACAGCTCAGACACACATCCCTAACTCATTGATAACTTCCCCTGATCATAAACCCACATCGATTATGCTTTGTCACCTCTAACCTCTCACTGCTTACAGAAGTGGTCTCTGGTACCGCGCATACAGCAAATATTATGAGCAAAACTACACCACGTTGCACTCGGCCAATGGAGTCCATGCCCACCCATCACCAACCGGTAGAACAATAGGACCACATAAACTGTAATCTCTCATTTGCAATAGTCCTCTAAAGACAAACGTCATTCCTTCCTTCATTTGTTACACAGTATTTCATCATCTTTGTTGTTGACCATGTCGTCGTCTTTTGAAGAGTTTGATGATGATCGGGAGCATGATGATAGTATGGATGACACGGATTTGGAGGCCACTCTGGAGTTGCAGCAGAAATCGCTGGAAGTCCTGTTGAACTACAGCAGTGTGGTTGCGAGTAAAGACGGAGAACCAGCCAACGAATTGGCGGCCATTGCTCGTTCCTACGAAGACTTGGGTCGACTCCACGAGCAACAAGGGAATCCAAGAGGTGCTCTTCGCAACTACCGACTCGCCTTGGAATACCACGAAAGCGCACCATCCAAGCAGATGGACGACGATATGGAGATTGACGACGAGGTTTCACCACGCGACTCTCCTACTACAAGAGACATGATACAGCTCTATCGGTCGGTTGCTCGCGTCCAGTTCCGACACTTTTTCCAACACGAAAAGGCGCAAGTGGCTATTCAAAAGGCCATTGATTTGGCCGTTACTGCTAGCACCACGAAGAAGGATGATGATGCTGTGTCTCGAAAGGAATTGGCAAGTCTCAATCAGGACATGGCGCACCTTTTGACAAGCCAGGGAGACTTTGACGGAGCTTTGGCAGCTCTCAAGCCACTGTTGGATTCTACGAATGACGACGATGAGGTACTAACCACCCTTGCCATTCAAGAACAAATGGCGGATATTCTATTCAGCAAGGGAGATTTCAAAGGGGCGGAAAAGGAATATCTCAAAATCATTGAAGCCAGAGAAAACGGTTTGGGCAAGGGCAAGGGCAGTAGTGATATGGACAACAATGAGGACAACCAAGATGTTCTGCGCCGTCTCTACCGAGCCATGGGCTGTCTCTTGTACAAGAAGAAAGATGACAACCGTGGGGATCAGTACTTTCAAAAGGCGGCCACGTTGACCACTTATCAGCCACTTTTTGTGGCTGAAACCACCACTGGTTTACGCACCATGGCTGCGTGAGTGAAGAACGCTCTACCTCAAGGCAAGCAACCGATGCACATTACATCACGACCCAAGACACACCGCTGTACCGTACAGACAGGCGCCTCCGATTTCAAAAGCAAACGTGACGCTGGTTTGACGCTCAATAGCTAGCTATTGGTGCCTGGAGGACACCGGTACCGCTAGTACATACACTATATTCATAAATTTAGCAAGCCAGTTCCTAAATTCCGGAAACGCAGTGAACTTCGCAGAGGATTGGATGCACGTATTTTGGCTCGAACGGTGCTCTGTATCTTACGGTATTGTGCTGATTATCCGAGAAAATTGTATGGTTTGCCCTCGAGGAACGGTGGCCTCCCGATTTCTTGGGCGCGCTGTCGGCGACTTCGACTAACTGGCTTCGTACAGCCGTACGCTCCGTTTGCAACAAACAGCTCTTAGTCTGCGCTACCGAAGAGATTATGGATGGGGCAGCGTCCAGTTTTCTGATGGGTCGATGAAATAAATGGGGTCGATAGAATGAACGTCAATTATTACAACATGAATCTTACAACTAAACTACAACTCTTGTACAAATACATCTTGAACCGAGGAGCGAATTGACTCCTCACTCACTGTACAGCGCACTGTGCGCCTCGGATCTTGTTCTTGGCTTCCCCCAAGATGAGCTTGGTGAGCATACTGTTGACCAGCTTTACATCCTCTCCGATGGCGCTCAAAATTGCCTTGCGATCGCTCTCCGTACTGGCTTGAGCTAGCCCCACATCGACATCAATCCGAATGATTTCATTCAGCTCTTGTTCTTCCACTCGTTTTTGGATGGCCTCATCGACGGCAACCACCAATCCCGATGCTTGTGCCCACAGGAATTGGAGCAGAAATATGAGAGGAAAGAAGACAAAGTACACCAAGCCCGCGGCAGCCTTCAAGAACGGGTTGGAATACAACCATTCAATGGCGAAACGGAGGGACCCACAAAAGGCAAAATACAGTGCCTTGCAGGGCGCCGCCACAAAAATCTTGACTAGGGTTGGCAGACGATCTTCGAGGAGAATAATGGGGGTCAAGAAACATGCCGCGACGGTGACGGGAAAGAGGACTGTCACCGCGAGGCAAATAGCGAGAATGGTCACGAGCTCGACCAACCACTTGGAGACAAACTCGACGGCGTCGAGCAGGAGGCGAATGGAGGAATTGAGATTGCGGTGTCGCGCCACGTGTCGTACGTTTTTCTCGAGTTTCTTGGTTTTTCGGTATTCTCGGACCATGGTCGCCAAGTATTTCTTGTCGCCACCGATAGTGACAGGCAGATCTCGTTGCAAGGCGAGGTATGCCTCATAACAACACCAAGCTCTCCTGTGAATGGGTAGATTAGGGGTAGAAATCATGACCATTCGCTTCAAGTGCTGGCTCTGTATAGCCTGGTAAAAGGCATACTCTTCGAGACAACCAGGGCTACCCAGGTACAAGTCCGTATCTAGGTTTTGCGGATTGGAAAGGAAGCAAATGTAGGCGGCATGGCAGTCATCGGGCCATTCGTTGAGCAAATGATTGGCAAATTCAAAGATTCCTTCGGCCCATGCATGGGAGACAAAGAGATCGATATTGACTCCCTCGGGATTCTTCATGAGGGCCCAACTGGACTTTGGTTGTGCACCCTTGGC